GCCACAGAATCCACATTATCGGACATATCTTCTCAGTATCTCACATTTGGACATTGGTTGGTTAAATAAGCGGCGACAATGAGGATTAACTGCGCTCGTATTGAATATGGAGCCTTTTCATGTGTATCAGCGATGTTCTTCGCCCTCCTCCTCTGTCTGCGCACCGCCTGCGGGGATTTGAGCTACACAGTCGAAGAGGAAAAGAAGGATCGGTATGTGATTGGAAACATAGCTAAAGATCTCGGGCTTACTCCTCAAATGCTGTCAACACGAAAGGCTCGGATTGATACAGAGGAAAGCAGCAAACGCTATGTTGATGTTGATTTACGTGGTGGAGATTTGGTTGTAGCAAAGACAATAGACAGAGAGAAGCTTTGTGGCTCGAGGCTGAACTGCATCCTGAATTATGAGCTCGTCTTAGAAAATCCCCTCGAAATGCATCGCATATCTCTGAAAATTGAGGATGTTAATGACAACGCGCCAAAGTTTCTTAATGACCGTATTACCTTCGAAATTCGCGAGTCCGCTATTAAAGGGCAACGTTTCCGTTTGGATGAAGCTCATGACTCTGATATCGGGCAAAATGGAGTTAATGACTACTCGCTCGAGAAGAACGACCATTTCATTTTATCTGTACAGGGAAGCACAGAGAAAGGGAAATATGCTGAACTTGTATTGGATGAAGAGCTCGATCGTGAACAACAGAAGGAGATTGACTTGATTCTGACTGCAGTTGATGGTGGGAATCCTCAGAGATCAGGAACTGCCACTATACACATCACTGTGCTGGATGCTAATGATAATGTTCCAGTGTTTAGTCAGTCTGTATATAAAGTCTCTTTGGCTGAGAACGCACCGCTGGGAGCTGAAGTAGTGACAGTGAGTGCAACAGATGCTGATGAAGGAGCGAATGGAGCAGTTTCATATGAATGTAGTCGCATTGCTGATAATGCAGCACAATTATTTACAATTGATAAGGTCACTGGACGGATCAAGGTAAGCGGAGATATTGATTATGAAGAGGAAAAATATTATGAGATTAAAGTGCAGGCCAAAGATGGTTCTGGCTTGGCATCCACTGCAAGTGTGATTATAGATGTCACTGATGTAAATGATAACGCTCCTAAAATCATCCTCAAATCTCTAACCAATCCTATACCTGAGAATGCTGTTGTAGGCACTGAAGTGGCCATTATTAATGTTCAGGATAAAGACTCAGGAGATAATCGACAGATACGTTGCTCCATTCAGCAACATACCCCTTTCCAACTGAAGCCATCCATTAAGAACTATTTCTCTGTTGTAACTACAAGCTCCCTTGATAGAGAAAAAGAAACTGATTACAATATAACCATCACTGCTACTGATGGAGGCTCCCCACCATTATCCTCCTTTAAGACTATTCATATATTTATTTCCGACGTCAATGACAATTCCCCTGTATTTGAAGAGCAACAATACAGTGCATATCTAACTGAGAATAACAAACCAGGCACCTCTATCTGCTGTGTTACTGCGAGAGACCCAGACTGGAGGCAGAACGGCACAGTGCTGTATTCTCTGGTGTCCAGTGAGGTCAACGGTGTTCCAGTGTCCTCATTCTTATCCATCAATGCAGACACGGGGGTGATCCATGCTGTGAGGTCATTTGACTATGAGCAGTTCAGAAACTTCAAAGTCCAGGTTGTGGCCAGAGACAATGGCTCTCCTCCCCTCAGCAGCAACGCGACTGTGAGTGTGTTCATAACAGATGAGAATGATAACTCTCCACAGATATTATACCCTGCTCCAGAGGGGAAGTCTTTAATGACTGAGATGGTCCCTAAAGCTGCTCTGTCCGGCTCTCTGGTCTCCAAGGTGATCGCTGTGGATGCTGACTCTGGACAGAACGCGTGGCTGTCCTACCACATTGTAAAGTCCACTGATCCGGGACTTTTCAGCATCGGTCTCCATAGTGGAGAGATCAGGGCGCAGCGGGACATCAGTGAATCTGACAGCATGAAGCAGAACCTTGTTATCTCAGTGAAAGATAACGGACAGCCCCCTCTCTCTACAAGCTGCTCTGTCTATCTGCTTATTTCTGATAACCTGGCTGAAGTTCCAGAACTTAAAGACATGACTTATGAGGAGAGCAGCTCCAAACTGACCTCATATTTGATCATCGCGCTTGTGTCCGTGTCCACCTTCTTTCTGACTTTCATTATCCTGATCCTGGCTGTGAGGTTTTGCCGCAGGAGGAAGCCCAGACTGTTGTTTGATGGAGCAGTGGCCATTCCCAGCGCGTACCTCCCTCCCAACTATGCAGAGGTTGAGGGAGCTGGAACTCTCCGCAGTTCTTACAATTATGACGCATATCTGACAACAGGATCCCACACCAGTGACTTCAAGTTCATCAGATCCTACACTGACAACACACTTCCTGCTGGTGGTTCTCTGAAACTGAGCCAAAATGACCCTTTTGGGCCAAGTGAGATAATGCTTAATGATAACGGAGATAGAGATGAGGTAAGCAGGGCTCTGTTTATCCCCTATTATAGTTAATATTGTGTTTTGTCGCTTCATAACGATATAATGAGCTAAGTTTTGAGGTTTTCTGTTACTGCAAGTTGTTTCTTGTTTCCTATTTTATTAGGTTTTAGTGCATTCTAATGCTTTCACTAGCTTATATTGATATGGGCTAACAGAGTTGTTGGGTTGACAAGGAGTTGACAGTGACATTTGTTCAAACTTTCATCTTGGCTGGTCCTGTTTACCAAGTATTCCTGAGTTATATCATATTGTAATTGCATCATTTGGCATTTAAGTGTCTTTTTTCGCATAGTGTTCTATGAGAAAATTATGCTATAAAATGATCCATGAACCACTTAACAGGCACAGTTACAGTGGAATTCCAATGATTTTTACAAAACATAATTAAAATTTGAAGGAGTACACAAAGTAATTTAGAATGGTGAGATGGGAAAATGATCTGCACTAGAGACATCTTGCAAGTCAGAATTATTCACAGTGGTAGTTGTGGGAACTAGAGGAGTTGAATGCCTCTAAATTCTCTCTAACACACATATGCTGCCTGATGCCTGGAACACTGTTTAATGATAATTTTGGAATAAGGAATTTTTTCTTTTTTCAGATTTAACTTTTTTTTTCTATTATTAACATTGCATATACAAAACACAAATACATCCCCTAGTGATTTTAGATAGTACATAAAATGCCTATGTTTTTGAATTATAGATATTGCTACCCTTGGTTCCCCTCACAACTACTGGAAAGAAATTAAAATCAAGAAGTTTCTCTACAATTAACCATTTCACATCAAACCACTCTGAATGATTTTTATTGATTTTTAGTCATTGAACTATGCAGATATTTTGGAACACTGTTGGAATACCCTTTTAGGTAGATTTCTGTACTGGACAGCGATAACTGTTTTGGAAAACTCAGCGGAGATGTGGCTTTGAATAATAATAGTCATAATCTCATTAGAAATTCACCAATGACAGCGCTTTAATAGTGACGTTTTAATACTAGTGCGTGGTAGTACTATCAGTTAAACTGAAGTTAAAGCATGATAGAGAAAGAGTACATATTTTTACCTTTTCATAACCTAATGTTTTAAAAGAGAGCAATAAAATAAAACGATGATGACAAGACAGAGTGTGCGGAGTCAATACAACATAAAATTTAAGTACAGTGGATTATGGTACAGTCATATTCCCTGAGTAAAGGTACTGAATATGTAGCCTTGAGGGGTCCATCCCAGTGACAGGAGGGGAACCACCTTAGTAACTTCAGTTATTATTATTATTATTATTATTATTATTATATTTTTTATTTATTTATTTATTTATTTATTTATTTATTTAATTATTTATGAGAGAGAGAGTACAGAACCTTTTTGAAATTGGTTTATACGGCACCAGAAATAGTTCTTCTATTGTTACAAGCCTACCATTTTCACAACAGCAAAATCCTTTGCGGTGCTATATAGAAACATTTTCAACACATTCTCCATCAATCTGAAGAACCATTTCACGATGTAAATACAAATTTAAGTATGCATTTTGTGTGTGTGTGTGTGTGTGTGAGTGTGTGTGTGTGTGTGTGTGTTCATAGTTTTATACCACTGTATTTACAAAAGAATATTTGAAGAATCGTCCTTTTTGAGAGTGTAGGCTTCTAAATACGCAGTCAGAAGCCGTAAAAGAACATTCTTCTCAAATCATTAATAAATATGAGATAAACTGCAGTTAACAGAAAATACGCAGAGTGTCGCTCTTCACCAACGGACGCTGCACATGCGTACCTCTCCGCCCAAATATTTAATATTAATGCGCAGCTCCATGTAACAACGGCGCATTTGAAGAAAAACCGCGTCGATGTGCGTCCAATTTTACCAAAGCCTGTGTTGAGCATCGTTTTTGTTTGATTTATTTTGACACGTGCGTTAATTATGGGGCGTGGATCATGGTCTCGTTTCATAATCCTCTTGGTTTTATCCTTTTCTCCGCTGGGGATTGTGCGCGGCGATCTGACCTACACCTTTCCAGAGGAAGCGAAGCGTCAGTATGTGATTGGAAATATAGCGAAGGATCTCGGAATAGATGCAAAACGATTATCAACTCGAAAAGCTCGGATTGACACGGAGGATAACGGTAAACGGTACTGTGACATTAACATGAGAACCGGGGAATTGATTGTGGCGGAGACAATAGACCGAGAAGAGCTTTGTGGTTCCACATCTCCATGCATCCTCAATTATGAGCTCGTTCTAGAAAACCCTCTTGAAGTCCATCGTGTATCTCTTCAAATTGAGGACATAAATGACAACGCACCGCGATTCCCTAATGACGGCATCACTTTAGAAATCAGTGAGTCGGCTGATAAAGGGCATCGTTTTCGTTTGGATGAAGCTTATGACTCTGACGTTGGCAATAATGGAGTTAATGGTTATTCCCTAGAGAGGAATGACTACTTTATTTTGTCCGTTCACGGAAACGCGGACGGTGGAAAACACGCTGAATTAGTGTTGGAGAAAGAGCTGGATCGTGAACAGCAGAAGGAAATGCATTTAATCCTCACTGCTACTGATGGTGGCAGACCACAGAGGTCTGGTACTGTAGTCATCCACATCAATGTGCTTGATGCTAATGACAACACCCCAGTCTTTAGTCAGCCTGTTTACAGAGTAACTATCGCTGAAAATGCACCTTTAGACACTGCAGTAGTTACAGTGAGCGCTACTGATGCTGACGAAGGAGCAAATGGTGAGATTACATATGAATTTAGTCGGGCTTCAGACAAAACTGTTAAATTATTCTCCATCGATAAGACAACAGGACAGGTTAGAGTAAAAGGAGATATAGATTATGAAAAAGAAAAATATCATGAAATAGGAGTCCAAGCCAAAGATGGCTCTGGATTTAGCATCTACAGCAAAGATTATCATAGATATCACTGACATAAATGATAATGTTCCTCGAATTATCCTGAAGTCATTAAACAACCCCATAGCTGAGAACGCTGTTGTAGGCACTGAGGTAGCAATAATTAATGTTCAGGATAAAGATTCAGGAGATAATAGAAAGATTCGTTGCTCCATTCAGCAAAATGCTCCTTTTAAATTAAACCCATCTATCAAAAACTATTTTTCTTTAGTAACCACAAGCATACTGGACAGAGAAAAAGAAGCAGATTATAATATAACCATCACTGCAACTGATGGAGGCTCCCCACCATTATCCTCCTCATTGACTGTTCATTTATCTGTGTCGGATATCAATGACAATCCACCTGTATTTGATGAACCATCTTATAGTGCTTATGTAGCTGAGAATAACAAACCAGGCACCTCTATCTGCTCTGTTACTGCGAGAGACCCAGACTGGAGGCAGAACGGCACAGTGCTGTATTCTCTGGTGTCCAGTGAGGTCAACGGTGTTCCAGTGTCCTCATTTTTATCCATCAATGCCGACACGGGGGTGATCCATGCTGTGAGGTCATTTGACTATGAGCAGTTCAGAAACTTCAAAGTCCAGGTTGTGGCCAGAGACAATGGCTCTCCTCCACTCAGCAGCAACGCGACTGTGAGTGTGTTCATAACAGATGAGAATGATAACTCTCCACAGATATTATACCCTGCTCCAGAGGGGAAGTCTTTAATGACTGAGATGGTCCCTAAAGCTGCTCTGTCCGGCTCTCTGGTCTCCAAGGTGATCGCTGTGGATGCTGACTCTGGACAGAACGCGTGGCTGTCCTACCACATTGTAAAGTCCACCGATCCAGGACTTTTCAGCATCGGTCTCCATAGTGGAGAGATCAGGGCGCAGCGGGACATCAGTGAATCTGACAGCATGAAGCAGAACCTTGTTATCTCAGTGAAAGATAACGGACAGCCCCCTCTCTCTACAAGCTGCTCTGTCTATCTGCTTATTTCTGATAACCTGGCTGAAGTTCCAGAACTGAAAGACATGGCTTATGAGGAGAGCAGCTCCAAACTGACCTCATATTTGATCATCGCGCTTGTGTCCGTGTCCACCTTCTTTCTGACTTTCATTATCCTGATCCTGGCTGTGAGGTTTTGCCGCAGGAGGAAGCCCAGACTGTTGTTTGATGGAGCAGTGGCCATTCCCAGCGCGTACCTCCCTCCCAACTATGCAGAGGTTGAGGGAGCTGGAACTCTCCGCAGTTCTTACAATTATGACGCGTATCTGACAACAGGATCCCACACCAGTGACTTCAAGTTCATCAGATCCTACAATGATAACACACTTCCTGCTGGTGGTACTCTGAAACTGAGCCAAAATGACCCTTTTGGGCCAAGTGAGATAATGCTTAAAGATAACGGAGATAGAGATGAGGTAAGCAGGGCTCTGTTTATCCACTATTATAGTTAATATTGTGTTTTGTCGCTCCATAACAATATAATGAACTAAGTTTTGAGGTTTCCATTTTTTCTGTTACTGAAAGTTGTTTGTTGTGCCTATTTTATTAGGTTTTAGTGTCTTCTTATTCTTTGACTAGCTTGTATTAATATAGGCTAACAGAGTTATTGCATTGACAAGGAGTTGACAGTGACATCTTTTCACCTGTCTTCAAATTGTCATCTTGGCTGGTCCTGTTTACCAAGTATTCCTGAAGTAGATCAAATTGTAATTACATCATTTGACATTTAAGTGACTTTTTCCTCAGAGTGTTCAGTTGTAATTATGATATAAACTTGGAAAGTAGGTCAAACTGGCAGTTTAGACGCGAGCATGATTTCACTTAACCACACAGAAGATGCAGATGCGCTAAGAAAAGCCCAGTTTACCTCAGTCGTAGGTTCATATGTTTCATTTAATGAGGTTTTTGTGACTAATTTTGCAGGATTAGTTGAATGTGATTCCTTCTCCAGAGTTTGTTTAGTCTTCTTTTCACAATAAATTGTGAATAGCATTTTATTTATGATATTCTTTTTATATGATGTATGTCACAGTAACTTGGACTCACGCAACGTCTAGGAAGTCTACTTTGTTTAGCTTGTTTTAGAATTTTGAAAA